CTGAGTGTTCAGGAGTTTCTGGCTGCTCTTCATGTGCATCTGACCTTCATCAACTCTGGACTCAATCTACTGGAAGAGGAACAACAAACAACTTTTCAGATGCCTGAAACAAGAGACTCTGCAGTGAAACACTTCTACCAGAGTGCTGTGGACAAGGCCTTACGGAGTCTAAATGGACACCTAGACTTGTTCCTCCGCTTCCTCCTGGGTCTTTCACTGCAGACCAATCAGACTCTCCTACATGGCCTGCTGACACAGGCAGGAAGTAGCTCACAGACCAATCAGGAAACAGTCCAGTACATCAAGAATAAGCTCAGTGAGAATCTGTCTGCAGAGAAAAGCATCAATCTGTTCCACTGCCTGAATGAACTGGATGATCGTTCTCTAGTAGAGGAGATCCAACAGTCCCTGAGATCAGGAAGTCTTTCCACAGATAAACTGTCTCCTGCTCAGTGGTCAGCTCTGGTCTTTATCTTACTGTCATCAGAAGAAGATCTGGATGTGTTTGACCTGAAGAAATACTCTGCTTCAGAGGAGGCTCTTCTGAGGCTGCTGCCAGTGGTCCAAGCCTCCAACAAAGCTCTGTAATTAAATGTGTACTTATACCTTTCTATAAATATAAATAATGATTTAACTGGCAATCGAACTTGGAGAGATCCATCGATTAATTGAATCAGCGATTTTATTCAGCCACAGGGCTATATCTTCACACATTAATCAATTTTGATTTGTCAGGTGATATAAAATGTAACCAGTATGCACAATTTTGGTATGATTTTATCTCAGTCATTGTCAACCACCCTTGGGTGCAATTTGGATTTCAGCTTTGGAAATTCTAGGCTCTATTCCCGACAGGTGTTCCTGTATACTATGCTGGCCACTTGGTTATGGCTCCCCATGTATGGTAAAATCCTCCATGCATGTTACGAAGCTTTCTTGTTTTGATTCCAGTGACTTACTCTCTGCAGGTATTTGGTGATTGCAGGTTTCCCAATGACCCCTCACTTCTCCCGCCCCTGAGATTACACCGTAGATGGTTAAGTGGAGAATATTTGATCAAATTTGATTTATTCTCCTGGCTTCAATATCTCTGGTATACTTCTTCAAGCGGTTAACCAAAGTTTTTGGTCTTTGCTTGGCATGGTCTGAGATATAGACAGCTTGTTGTGCTTAGCTGCTTCCTTGTCTTTGTCACACTTTTCTACAGTTCTAAGGCAGTTTCTCTGTGGAGTTCACATTCCAGTTGCAGCGTATTCAGTAGTGATGTGTCGGTCGCGAACGAAACGGCTCTTAGCGCTGGATCTTTGACGTGAACGACGGGAGCCGGCTCCTTATCGCGAGCCGTGGGTTTTTTTCCTTTTCTTTCTCTCACCTTCTCTGTCGCACTTTTTTCCGCTTCACTCCGCATGCGAGCCTTGTGCTTTACGCTGCGATGTGGGGGGAGGGGCGGTAGTTACACAGAGAATGTGCATCTTCTTTTTGTTTTCATATTTAAATTTATATTTAATTGTGTTGTGGTTTGCAGTGTTTTGTGTTGTTTCACTTTAAATTTGTTTTCAAGGAAAAAGCTGAACATTTAAATAGCTAAAAGTTGAATTGTGAATAGTTGGTTTTTGTATTATATGATTTATTTATTACATTTTATGTGGAGTGAATAAATAAAAGTATATTTACGGTGGCCCCTAGAGACAAAGCACATACAAACTTCAAAGCACGTACAAACTTCAAAGCACGTACAAACTTCAAAGCGCGTACAAACTCCAAAACGCGTACAAACTCCAAAACGCGTACAAACTCCAAAACGCGTACAAACTCCAAAACGCGTACAAAAGACAAAACGCGTACAAAAGACAAAAGAAGTGCTCCAGAATGCTAGTTGCAGTGTTGAGCTGTTGTTACCTAGTGGCTACACAAGCCAGCAAGTACCAACGACCGGATTTGGTGTGTGGTAGTAACAGGTAAATGAACATTTTTTTAAAAAATTATTTTAATATATATGTATGCTTGTGTATAAGTACACAAACAATACACATATGCTTTCAACTGTGTAATTTAAGTAATCTAGGTAGCTCTGTTTTGGAAGTTCAGTTAATGCTAGAAATGTTTTTTGGAGTTTGTACGTGCTTTGGAATTTGTACGTGCTTTATGGAGTTTGTACGTGTTTTGTCTCTAGGAGCTACCGCATATGTTTATATATAAACATATATAAATAAAACTACTTTTTTTAACATTAGTAATTCCTTTTGTGCATAATTTTATATTATTGTTAATAATAAATTAATTAAAGCAACAAAACAACCTGAAGAGCCGGTTCAGAGCCAAAAGACCCGGCTCTTTTTAGTGAGCCAAGCTGAAAGAGCTGGTTCTCTAAAAAGAGCCAGAAGTCCCATCACTAGTATTCTCTGAAGTTTAGGGGTTGTTTTTTTTTTTCGCTTTAAAAAGAGTTACTTCCCATGCAGTGAACAGCGGACACTAATGTTTTTGTCACTTTATACGGAATCAAACTCAAGTAAAGTCAGTACTTCCACGCTTTAAACACTGCGCAGTCATATGCTCTCCTGCACTCGATATATTATCCATTGTTGATCTGCACACAGCGTTTGCCACGAACGTTTCACTCGCTTACGTCATTGTCATGAGATACTCTCGCAAAAAAAATCACGGTTTTAGTAATGCAGTAACGCAGCGTGCTTTCGGGAAAGTAACAGTAATCACCTTTATTGCAATAGTAATCCCTTACTTTACTCGTTACTTGAGAAAAGTAATCTGGTTACAGTAACACGTTACATGTAACACTGCTTGTAACACGTTACTTGTAATGCGTTACCCATCTCTGGTCAGTAGGGATGGGTATCATTTAGGTTTTATCCGATACCAGTACTTTAGAAATGGTGTCGGTGCTTAAACGGGGCTTGAACCGGTGCTTAAAGAATGAAGAACACAAACTTTGTCCAAAAACCTCTCATGTTTAGCTGTTGAGCCCCTCCCGGCCACTTGTATGCGCGATCTTGTTCTTTCGGTCACTACCCACAGCTCATGACCATAGGTGAGGGTAGGGACATAGATTGACC